GAGCACTTCAGCCTGCCCTTCCTCTGACCCCATTCTGCTAGCAGAGGATGTATAGTGCTCCTTGACATAGAGTGTCACACCCCTACCTTTCCTTCCTACCATCACTGGATACCATTAATTCTTGTTCTTTTTCCAAAAAAAAAAAAAAAATTCAATCCTGCTTTTCATTTGTTATAAAGATGTCATAAAGATGAAAATGGTTTCACATACTGTTTATTTCAGAAAAGCACAGGTAGGCCACACATCATTCAGAGAACTGTAGGAGCACAAACCCCTAAGCAACTAAAGGACCTTGGTATGTAACATTTACATTGTACATTTTTCAGTAATGGCAATAATTTCTGTTGTAATATTAACAATCCAGACTTCAGATTAACTGAGTTTATATAGAACCACTGAACTTTTAGAATAGTCTGAAAAGGTTAACATGACATTTTTATATCAAGTTGATAATCAGGCAATTGAATGTCAGAATAGTCGAAATTAAATTGAAAATGGTTTTGCCTATCAAAACTTCTGTTTAGTTTTCTTTTAGTAGATAACAGTTGATTTCATTATTAATACTTTTATCAGCTGTAATTTTTATACCAATGAGGTCTCAGCCCCTTCAGCTACCTATATAATGCATGTTTAATTTTAATCTAAATCCATGACATGTTGTTATTGATGTGGGATACTTAAAAGTTATGGGTTTTAAAGAACACTTTTCATTTAACTTTTAAGAGAGAATATTTGTGAGTTTGGTGGTCTTAATCTGTTTCGCATTGTATTAATGTCCACATCACAAGGATTTCTAAATCATGTTTTCAAATACTTTGGAGTGTTCTTAGAATATCACAAAACATTTAACCTTAAATTTTGCCATCCCAGACTGCTATATGTATTGCTGTGCACAGTTTTCATATTTATAATTAATTGTATGTTCTTCTGAAAAAATTGTGAATTATTTGAATGTTCTGCTTACCACAGAGGCTGACTCTAGTTCCGAATGGCCCTTCTTACCTGAATTACAGTGGTTGAGGAGAAGGAGAAGAAAGAGGGCTGTAAGTATAAGTTTGACACTAACTTTATACCCTGTAGTGTTGCATATATTTTTAAATTATTTAATTATATGTGACTGTGTCCTCATCAGAAAACTACCTTTTGACTTTCTGGAAAGTTGAAGATAGATGGTCTTTATACATTATATGTATGTTGTCATATTTGAATTAAACTGAATGTGCACAACAAAGTAGATGGTAGCAGTTTATAGTGACAGCATTACCACATATAGTATAAATAGAAATTTGACAGTCAAAGTAGAATTGAAAGTTCAGTGATCCTTACAAGCTTAAACTGTTGTGGGCAAAAATCTGAATGAAGTCTGATTAAATTGTAGATAATCTTTTTTATATGTGTGTAGCTCATTAAGTAATTTATCCAAAGACACAAGCCACAAATGGGCAATTGAAAATTGGGTTGTTTAAAGAAAATAAACACAGGTAGACCCACGTATTTTATAATCACTATAGGTATATCTGTTTAGAATATATTTTATCTATACCTCTGTGGTTCACTCTGCATGTGGGTCTCTAATTTTTATTGAAGTTAATTTATACCCAAATGAGATCCATTTTTTCATGCCATTTTCCAGATTTATGGAAATTTGAAGAGCCACCCATTTAAAATATGTAGTAAATAGCACAATAGAGCACAGGATACTCATGTTTTAAATTATTTTTGGGTCTTTCAAAAATACCAGATATTATGGCAAGAGTATCTTTTCCTGTAAACCCCAGACAAAAAGATTTTCTTTTAACTTATTCCAATTGAAATGATTTAGATCATCTGCTGATGTAAATCACTGTGACTCCTTTGAAGTCAATGGAATTATGACTGTTTGTGCTTTTGCGATCTGAACCTGCCCTTTAACAGCCTCATTCACACTGGGTACATCTATATGAGATGCCCACTACGCAGTTGTTACTGCATAGTTATTTAGTACTTACATAACCAAGTACTAAATGACTGTGTAGTAACTGGTGTTGTTGTGCAGTAGCATCCCAGCATGGCTGCCTGGTGACGCTTACTGCACAGTACCTCATTACTACTGCACAGTAGCATCACGTCTAGATGCACCCATTGAGTAACATTTGTGTGCATATTTCCATTGAATCCAATGAGGAACACAAACTTGGCTCTTCCGCCGCTACTAGATAGGTCAATTTTCAAAATTCCTCTCTCACTTGCTGTCACATAGTGTCATTTCTCACTGTGAATTTTTAAATTCAACAGGCATCTCGTGGTGTTTTGGATGAGATGAAATATTTGGAGCTCATGATTGTAAATGACCATAAAATGGTAAGAATACAAAGACATTCTTCCTATTAATGTAATTAG